GCAAGCAAGCAAGCAAGCAAGCAAGCATATAAATAAGACTTATAATAGTATCTGTGAATAGGGACTTATACAAACGAAGCTAACCCTGTACAAATGAGTCAATGGTCTTCAAAACAGCGGTCATGCATGCATTGATGTCRTCTATGTCATACCTTAGAAAGCTTCTCACAGACAGCACAAGATCTTGTCCAGGCGGACATATGGCCACTTTCCAGTAGTTATTATCAAAGGAATACTGCCAGGCCCCTTGGTAACGTGAATCGAGTATTACGGCTACTAGGCCTGCGCGCAGGGGAATTGATTCTGTCATCGCTTTACCAGGTTCAAGTATTAGGCATTTACTGGATTCTGGCGTATTCGATGGAGAAGGGCTGGGTTGGTTTGTTGCGTCACACGAGCCTGCAACATAAAATACACGAYTTAAGGACGTTCATGGGCAAAAGTTCCCATCGTCAGAGYTTCTTTATATTTTGCATAATAAAACTACATCATACTAGAGGTAAAATAAGCAAAAAAATCGGACTTCGCTTAGCTGTCCGAAAGCGCGTTTTCATTTCGACGTTGATTTTATACACGCGCGCACTACGCTTTTTAGTCATCCCCCCCCAAACGTGAGCAAACAGCGTGCGCACGCAGAAAAACAAACGAAGACAAATGCGATTCTAAAAGTAGGATCAAATGGTACGGTGTCTAAGATGGTTACAAGCATGAATACAAGAGTGGATTCCTTCTCTTAGTTCATATTCTCTTGATAAAAGGTTATTGGGCTACAAGTCTGGACTTGGAAGCTTCATGTTACGACTTATGCACAAAATATGTAATTTCGATTTGATACCATCGTCAAATTTTTTCAATTTTCCCCTAAAGTTGGGTATTACGATGTACTTTAGAAAAACGAAATAAAAGAGGGGGTAACCGACTTTTACCGAGATTAAAGACGCTTTTATGAGATTTTGCTTTTCAAAATATTGTAATGACGTCATCACGATGAGCGCGACTATATTTGAATTTGTATTCGTGTATTTGAATTTGTATTCGTGTATTTGAATTTGTATTCGTGTATTTGAATCTTGTACGCTAATCCAACACATTTCGATAAGAAG